TAAATCCTAAACCCTAAACCCTACTCAGACCTCGTTCAGTGACGCCCTCGGTCTTCCATCGCTCAGAGGCGATGGAAATCCTCGGCTCTGGGATTTGAATGGAGAGTCAAAACCCAGACCCCCAAAAGGATCTAAAAAATAGATCCCCTAAAGGGGTTCCTATAAAGTACCCTTTAGTAGTTAGGGTCCCTAATTAGGGGATCTATTTTTTAGATCCGTTTGGGGGTCTGGGAAGACGTGACTTGTGACAATGGAATGAGAACCGTTGGAAGAACAGGGCACCGCAAAAGAAGTAACCGGAGAGGGTGAAGACCGGTGCAACGACCCCGAATGGAGAGTTTAGGGTTGAGGGTTGGGCACCCAACCTTGTTCGAGATTGCTGCGCAAGTGCTGTAGGGGCCCTGTCGGGGTCTGGGTGTCGCGGGCAGAGCCTGTCACAGCCATAAACCAAGGGCGGCTTTTCAGCTTTCAAACGGAGCGGTTGGAGGAATGCGCGTTCTGTCCCAAAGTTCGGGGTAATGCACTCCATCGCTAAACTCTACACCCCTAAACCCTGCAACTCGCGACCCCTAAACCCATAAACCCTTAACCCTAACCCCTAAATAGGGTTTAGGGTTTAGGGCGTGAGGCTCAATTATTTTGAATTCAACGCTGAGGTGAAACACGACCCGAAACATGGGATCCACCACGTGCTTGGGGTTTCGGCTTGAAGGGTTTGGGTCTAGGGTTTAGGGTTTAGCGTTTTAGGGTTTAGGGTTTAGGGTTTAGGGTCTAGGGTTTAGGTTCAGGCAGCCTCTGTGTCATTACGATAATGACAGAGGAGCTCAGCAGGCTAAACTCCGCGCATTCAGGCCCCGGGTACCAAACAGGAGAAAACGCTAAGACTCTCGCTTCTAAATCCCAATGTGTAAGCCGAAACCTCATACCATGAAGCCGAGATCCCAAACCACCATGCACAGATCTATCCTGAACCCTGAAACCTAACCCACCCTAAACCCTAAACCCTAAACCCTAAACCCTAAACCCTAAACCCTAATCCTAAACCCTAATCCTAAACCCTACATGCTAAACCTCTGAACCCTAAACCTCAACCACCTATAAACCCTAAACCCTAAACCCTAAACCCTAAACCCTAAACCCTAAACCCAAACGACTAAACCCGACGACATGAAGGTGCTGAGGAGCGTGTCCATGAGAGTCTCCAGCTGTGCTGTCCTCCAGGCAGACATTCATCGAGCATTGCGGGCTTAGCGTCGGGGCTTCGGTTGGGGTTGGGGGCTTAAGGTTTAGGGTTTATAGTGTTTAGGGAGTAGGGTTTAGGGTTTAGGTTTTAGGGCTCAGAGTTTAGGGTTTAGGATTTAGGGTTTAGGGTTTAGTGTTTAGGGAGTAGGGTTTAGGGCTGAGGGTTCAGGGTCTAGGGCTTGCAAGGTTAAGGGCTGGAAGGTTTAAACCCTAAGGCTCTAAGGACTCATAGTTTAAGGCTTTCGGGCCTAAAGACCCTGCTATATAAGGCCTTTGGGCCTTACGGCCTTACGGTGTTGATTACTGTGGCCATGAATGTTGAAATTTCGAGCTCAAAACCTTTAGCAACCAAACCTTATAAACCCTCAACCCCTGAAGCTTAGAGCCTTAAATCCGAACCCTGTAGAGTTTAGGAATGCTGCTGTTGCCCAGAGGCTCCATATAAACTACCATTATTTATGGATTTAGGTCCCTTGAAGCCATATAATAAGTATGGTCTTTTGGGACTTAATTCCATACTGGTAGTATATATGGAGCCACTAGGTTATATATACATATATATATATGCTACTCTACAGAGATACTGTCTCTAAGCCCTGCGAAAACACACAACAACAAACTCCCAAACGAACCCCCCCCGACATCCTTACAAGCCCTGCGCCTACGCAAGGCTTCAACATCCTTAAAATCTATCAGCCAAGGACCAACCCCGTCCAGAAAAGCAAACGGAACCTTGATACAACAACATAATTTGCACCAAATTATCCGATAGTAACAAACTTGGAAAACAAAAACATGCCAAAACCCCAAACCTTAACCCACATAACCTGAACAAGAGCACCTGGAGGCCCCGATGGAGGTCGCATCTGGCTTCGTCTCGTTCGTGGCGGCTGTGGTGGGCACATCTTCATCGGAATCGTCGCCTCTGGCATCCCCAATACTTACATAGACCCTGAACTGTAGACAGTGTTTCGGGTTTAGGGTAGTACTTCCTTCCGATAACTTGTTTGATGGCATGGGGTCAAATAATAAGGTAATGGAGTGACCAGAAGGGGTGCGGCAATCCGCGGTCTAGGCAAACAGTGAACGCCAAACCCTAAATCTAAACAGGGACCCTAAACCCCCAAACACCCTAAACCCCAAAACCCTGAAACACCCCAAACCCCAAACCCTAAACCCCTAAACCCCTAAACCCCTAAACCCTAAACCCCTAAACCCTAAATTCAGCTTAGTTGCGGGAGTCTCTTAGTGTGAATGATCTTGGGGGAAGCGGGGAAGCTTCTAAGGTTGAAATGGGCGCCTGGTATGGGCCCTTAACCCTGGGATCCTTATACACCGACTATATACCCCTATGTGTACCCTTAAGGGTCCCTAGAAAGGCCTAAGGGTCCACATTAGGGGCCCATACTTTTAAGCTAAGCAAGCTGGCATTATGAGGGTTTAGGGTTGAGGGTTTAGGGTTTTAACCTTAGAAAGCTGGCATTATGAGGTAGACCTCCGAGCTCTCCATGTGGAGTTAGGGGTTTGGGGTTTTAGGGGTTTTAGGGGTTTTAGGGGTTTTAGGGGTTTTAGGGGTTTTAGGGGTTTAGGGGTTTAGGGTTTTAGGGTTTAGGGTTTAGGGTTGAGGGTTTATGTCCATAGTTTAGGGCTTGATATATCAGCCTTAGTTGTTCGACTCGCATATGCCGAATACCGACACTGTCCGACAAAACCTGAAGTGCGGGGTTGCAGTAGTGAATAGTGCTACCAATTCTTCAAGCCATTCATGTAACCCTATAAGGGTCCACGTTTCCGAATAGTATATACTTTGGCCCTGAAGTACATATATAGGGACTTCTTTGAGGCCAGAGTATATACTATTTGGGTACATGGACCCTTTGGGCTATGTTACGATTATGGCATGAGCCCCAAAACCACCGTCCCCATCATGGCTTGTATCTCTGGGACCTGCCGCTTCAAACTTGAATGGTAGTATGAGTTTAGGGTTTAGGGTTTCGGGTTTAGGGTTTAGGGTTTAGGGTTTAGGGGGGCTAAGGAGTTTAGGGTTTTGGGTCTAGGCATGTTTGGGCAGATTCAGCCCCGAACCTTCAAAGCCCTGAACTCCATGTACCCGCAGTGAAATATTCCTACAAGCACAACGACCCAAAACCCTAGAAAGCCTAACCTACTTAACAACACCCCTCTCACCAAGTCCACGCGTCCTCCCTGTACAGTAAATCCTCAAAACCTAAACCCTAAACCCTAAACCGCTAAACCCTAAACCCCTAAACCCCTAGATCCTCTAAACATATTAACCGTAAAAAACTTCCGAAGCCCTAAAGCAAAACAGTGTGTCCGAGGAGGGAGAGTTCAGAAGCTGCAGCTCGAAACGATGACCTTAGGGCGACATTTACGGTTCGGGTTTAGGGTTTAGGGTTTAGGGAGTTTAGGGTTTAGGATTGTCTAGGGGAACTGAAATAGGAATTATAATACCCCAGCAAAGTTAAAGGTTACTACTCCAGTACCCTATATGTAAACCCCTGAAGCCTAGACCCCTAAACGAAACCTGCCCTGGCCTTTGTCGCCTCCATCGAGTTCCACTTGTTCCAGGTCATCGGTGAGCTCTGCGAGGACATTGCCTGAGCTTTGGGTTTTAGGCTTTAGGTCAAGGATTTCCATAGCCATGCTCGCTCGATTTGCGTGCTTCCAAATTACACAACTGCGCGCTCGCTCGATTGTGGAGCTCGCTCTTACGCGCACCGCAGAGCAGCGCACGCGCGCCAGCGAGCACCCAAAAATGTTAGAAGCACCCTCCCCGAGCAAACATGCAAAATCGACGCTTTTTTGAGGCCTCAGACTCGCCGTAGAGGTGTTTAGGGTTTGGGGTTATTCCAGAAAATTCCAATGCATGCTCGCTCGAGCTGCGTGCTTCTAACAAAATTGCGTGCTCGCTCGCCTGCACAGCACGCCTCATGCAAACAAGCAGCCGGCGGAGACAAACGAGCGAGCACCCAAACATTTTGGAAGCACCCACCCCGAGCGAGCATGGTCAGCGCAAGATTTGATTAGGGTTTGAAACAAGCAGGGGATGTGAGTACCAAGTCAAACTCATATTCTCTAATGGTTCTCCTTGAAGACACATTCCAACAAAATTAAAAGCTCTTATTCCATAATGCTCCCCTTGAAGGAAAAGGTGCAAATAAACCACCACCCCCCCAACAAAACCAAAACCCTAAACCCTAAA